AGCGACATCGTCCAGATCGCGCCGAGGGAGTGAAAAGACGTGCGAGCTGCCTGGGCCCGCCTCGCAATCTCGTGCGTCGGCGTACTCCACTGGACCAAATGCGGTCCTAGGTATCTGACTGAATCGAGAGTTCTACCGCTAAGTCCGTGCTGTTGGGGTTCTCTTAGAAGTTCTTTAAATGTCGTGCTGCCCACCCCCTGGAAATGAAACAAAAACTCATGATTGCTGTAAGTAACCGCGCTGATCGAGTTGCTCGTCTAAAATAGCGTCCGACTTACGAATCTTATCCATTAGCCCTGTGAAAGTTAAACCAGGGGAGGCAAGTATAAGCTTCAAAAGATCATCTGCACATTTGCTCAGCGATAAATCTGCTTTACATGGTCCCCAGACAGAAGTGAGAGCTTTGCCTGTTGGGTCATTCTGCCAGTGCCAATAGCTCCACCTTAAAACTGGTGGTTTGAAACTTTCAACAAAGTTCGCCACAATGAATGGGTCCCCTATCATGCCTCCCTCACTGGGCTTCGTTACCAGTGAGCGGTCCGAGGATTCTAGAAACCTGGCTCCTTGTCTATAGCGCTGGCGGCAGAGCACGCGGTCCTCTTCCTTCGAGCCCAATTCTACTGCCGCATCCATGCATTGCCAGTCCGTGCTGGAGAAAGCATTCGCGGGATCTTTGAGGGAAATCACGCGCGTGGGGCGGCGCGCTCGCAGCCGCCAACTGGTCTGTAGAGCTGGGGGGATAGCATTCTCTCGACGTCGGCCTCGGCAGAAGCCGCGATCATTTACCGCCGGGCGGGCCGAAACGCAAAAGCGGAGAAAAAAAAAGAAACCTTCGCCCAGCGCGGGCAGCGCGTGGACAATCCTTCGGCCCTTTGGGCCCACACTCGAGTTTTTATAAATCGCAGCACCATCACAGGCATGCCAATACAGCTGGGTTATATCAAATTGCCTAATCTTCCAGAGCCCTAGCTCTAGCAGAAGACAAAGGATATCGCATCTAGGCATTGTTTCGGGGGGGCCAGCTCCCCTTCTCACCTTGAGCTTGCGATTGGGGAAAAGGCACATGTGCCACAGTTCTAGAGGAGCTGTGCCCGATGGGACCTGTTTCCTGCGGGGGGCTCGCCTGATTTACCTCTTAATTTGTTTTTACATCGCTCTCAGCTAATTCCTGAACATCAGCGCTGCGCTCAAGGGGGTAATCTTGGATTGCCCTTTCCGACCTCCAGTCTTCATAATCAAATTCAGAAGCCCCCATCCCGCCCTCCCGCCCGCCCGAACTAAGCGCCTCCACCCGCTCCAGAGCTGACGGCAGGGCTGTGCACGCACGCCGACCATCGCGACGCTTCGGCCCGCGCCGACAACGCGCTGCGGCTCGGGCGGCCCTCATGGCCTCAGCTGGGCGCCCTCGCCCCCGCGCTCCCCAGGCTTCGGCCATGATTCCCGCCTTGCGTTCTCTGGCATGCGTTCGGCGCTCCTGAAAAAGAGTGCGACTCAACTCGGCAAGCTCAGTCTCGATGCTTTCGGCCTCTTCCTCCGAACGAGCGGGTCTGGAGCCCCTAAGAGCAACCCTTTGTTAAAGCAACTCTCTGCGGCGGATGGCAAGCAACTCTCTGCGGCGGATCACTTGCGACCACTGGTTTAAAACATGCTTGCCCAGCTTTGACCAGGCTCCGCTCCGAAGTCTCAAAAATCTGATCTGGCGCAGCGTGCTCTTTTAGCCGCAAGGGGTGTGCCTGCTGCAGCTCATCCTTGACAGCTAAGAGAAATTCTCCCCGCCCCCTCCCCGTACGCACCGCCTCCATTATCTGGCCACGCTGCCAACGTTCCCTATCTCCCTGCGCCTGCTGAGGTTCGATCGAATGCTTGTAATACTTCAGGCAGCAGTGGGAGGCAGGTGATCTTTTGGGGGGATCCCCCAAAATGCTTGCAGTTTAGCTCCTAGTTTCGTTAAAACTCCTGTCGATGCGATGGCATGTCGCGTATGCTTCGGCATAACAAGATAGTCTACACGACTCGAACTCGTGGGCCCAAAGTATGTGTGCACAATCTGTTCAGTGAAAGTGTTACAAGCGAGCATATGATGCTGAGCCAGAAGCTTACGCATTGTCGTGCCCGCTCCACCCCGAAGACGCTCCACCGTCCGAGCCCCCACCACCCCATCCTCGGCATCTTGCCACTGCTTCTGCTCATTCAAAAAGCGACCGATACCATCATTTAAATCAGCATATATGATGGGGGTCGTGCGAGTTGGCAGGGACGATAAAAGCGACTGTAGCCAACTGGTCATCTGTTTTACAACTCCTATATATTGACCCTTCTGATTCGCCTTATCTGGCTGCGGAGGAAAATACATTGAGATAGGGGTGACAGCTAAATTCCCCCTCTCCACACGGATGCCTAGGCAGCGCCCAGAGGCCCCAGAGGGGGGAGGCCACATCTGCTTTACACAAGAACGGTCAAGGCCTGCTCCTAATATGATGCTCACTCCACAGCTACCATTGCTATATGGCGACTCGCGTGCCCCCCAGGGGGCCTCAATCACTTTCTTCCCACTTACTCTGCGAGTCAAAAGGGTGTACTCTGACGCTGAGGAAGCCTTCTGCTGTGTTCCTGCCAGCAATACGAAATCAAAGTTTGCACATTCCTCGGTGGTCTCGGAGAGTCTGTCCCCGCCAGCTGACTGCGGGTTGTACCCCAAGATGCGCAGACGGTCGGGCTGGCTGATACTCGACATGTAGTCCTGTCCTGCCAGCTGACCTCCTCATTCCATCGCGGTGCACATCGGAGTGTGGCCCCTCTCGGAGGGACTGCACGGGAAGAAAAGAAGAACCCCGTCCTCTCAATCACTTGATCCTCGAGGCTTCCCCCTCCTCCTCCTCCTCCTCCTCCTCCTCCTCCTCCTCCTCCTCCTCCTCCTCCTCCTCCTCCTCCTCCTCCCCCCCCTCCCCCTCCTCCTCTTCCTCCTCCTCCTCCTCCTCCTTCTCCTCCTCCTCCTCCTCCTCCTCCGCGCCTCCTGGGTCCGGGATCTGGTTGAATGAGCCGAGCTTCTTCCTTGAACCCGGGTGCGCCGAAGAGAGGGTCCAGCCAGGGGTGGTCAACGCATCGTGGCCCGAGGTGGCGATGTGCGCAGACGAGCGGGGCCAAGCAGCGGTGGGATCTGGGAGATCGCATGGCTCCAGGATCCCCCCCCGCCCCGACTGAGCGAGCGGGTGACCCTGGGCGCGAGTGAGATCTCTGGTGCACGGCTGGCCGATCTTTGCGTGTGGCGCGGCAGCAGCGGCCTGGGTGCTTGGCCTTGGCCCGCCCCGCGTCCCCCGAACGCCGCGCACCGAATGCCACTCTGGAGACAGGGCCACTCTGGCGTGCAACGGCCCCCTATCCCACCCCGGTTACGTCACGATTCGCGCTGAGGCTGCCTTGCTACGGCTCGGAGCAGCTGGTTTCCAGGCGGCGCTGAGGCAGATCGTGACGTCACCGCACCCCCTCCCCCCCGCTTCCCTGCCCCCCGGTGAAGTCTGTCATCGCCCGGAAGGACAGGCGAGCAAGCTCCACGGGGACGAGGATAGCGGAGAAGCTGGGCTGAGGTGCGATCGGCCTCGGAAACTGGTTGCATGTCGCCAAGAGACACCGCCGCCCCATGTCTTCAACATCTCTCGTCCATGTCTTCTCTGATCGCGCACGCGTACCACAGGAAGCTCGATTTCAGCAAAACCGAAGGAGAGGATGGCGGAGAAGAGAATGGTAACATGATGGAAGAATAATGCGAATCTGAAAGCGGATAGCAGTAATCCTACTAATCCGCCGATCCGGCGTGTGAGTTTCTGAGAGCGTGGGCTTGAGCTCGCTCAAGCTTCGCTCTGCCGAGGGGGGCGGGGACCTCATTTCCGACCTATTTCCGACCTAATTCAGTGCTTCGCCCCACCCCCCCCTCCAGAGCGGACCCCCCCCCCAGCAGAGCGCCCCCCCCCACCCACCCTCCTGCAGCCCAGCCCCCCCCCTCCCCCTGCAGAGCGGACCCCCCCCCCGCAAAACCCCCCCCCCCCCCCCGGAGGGACCCCCCCCCCTCCCCCTGCACCCCCCCCCCCTTGCAGAGCTGAGCAGGACCCCCCCCTGCAGAGCGAAACCTCCCCCCTGCAGCCCCCCCCACCCCTGCCAGAGCGACCCCCCCCCCCCCCCTCCCTGCACACCCCCCCCTGCAGCAGCAGACCCCCCCTCCTGCACCCCCTCCCCCTGCAGAGCGACCCCCCCCCCCTGCAGAGCGGACCCCCCCCTGCAGCTCAGCCCCCCCCCCCCCCCTGCAGAGCGGACCCCTCCGTGCAGCCCCGCCCCCTGCAGAGCGGACCCCCCCCCTCCCCTGCACCCCCCCCCCTGCAGAGCAGACCCCCCCTCCTGCAGCCCCACCCCTTGCAGAGCGGACCCCCCTCTCCCCTGCAGCCCTCCCTCTGTCGAGCGGACCCCACCTGCAGAGCAGACCCCCCCTGCAAACCCAGCTCCCCCCCCGTCGTCGTCGTCGTCGTCGTCGTTGTCGTCGCGTCGTCGTCGTCGTCGTCGTCGTCGCTCGCGTCGTCGTCGTCGTCGTCGTCGTCGTCGTCGTCGTCGTCGCTCGCGTCGTCGTCGTCATCGCCGTCGTCGTCGTCGTCGTCGTGATCGTTGTCGTCGTCGCTCTCGTCGTCGCCGTCGTCGACGTATTCGTTTTCGTCGTCGTTTTCGTCTTCCTCGTCGTTTTTCATTTCCACAGGCACCCAGAGCGCCCCGGATCGGCGGCACTGGCCGGAGGCCACTACAATAATAATCACAATTCGAATAAAAAGAAAAGAAAGGTGTGCAGGGCAAAGAGCGGACACCCGCGGAAGAAACCCACATGATGCCTGCAAGGCAGGTGCAGGCTTGGCTCGCGCGGGCTCAAGCGGCCAAGGCAACAAAGAGATCTGGGAGAGGGTGATGGGCAACATTTCAAACGCCACGTGTTTTCCGGAAAGTCTGTCCGGCGTATGCCGAAGTCAGCAGCAACCCTTCTTTTTCGGCTTTGCCTGTGGGCCCACCGCACTTCAATCTGGGCGTCGTCCCGCAACTGAACTCGAGCGATCGTGCTGCATTACCCTCTTCTGCATGCTTCTTGCCAGAACGTCTACGCCCCTCTTGCAGCGTAAAGAACAGAACTGTGAATAATCATCTTAGCGATCCTGGATGTTGCCGCCCCGCGCAAAGCAATGCTCAACCAACCTCGAAACGACTTGACACAATGCTGATCGACCCTGCCTTCGCCAACCCCACGATCGAGACAGGCAACGAAACAGGCCTGAACAGCATCCTGGACAGCTTCTTTGGTCAACGTTTTCTTTTTTCGGCGTTTCGACAGTGGACAGAGGGGGGGGGTCTGGCTCTGGATCTCTGCTTACTGCGACTGTTTGCAACGGTGCGTCTTGTGTAAGAGTCTTGTGGGAGACTCCCACCCGCTTGAGACGGGCGCCCGAAACAGCCAAGGTTGCTTCATGGGTGGGAGGAGGGGGTTCGAGGGCCCGCGCCCATCGGCAAAACAATGAATAAGACAACGATCGCCTGCCTGCAAGTGGTGTTTGGGGTGCACTCTGAACTTGCCGTCGCTCGGACGTCCATTTCCCGTGCATTTTTTTCGGTTTCGTGCGTGTGTTTGTTTTGCTCGATGGTCCAGGATGGTCCTCGATGGCTCTCGCCGAGAAAAGATGCACACGTCCGAGCGGTGCCAAGTGAAGTGCATTAGCTGCCACAACTTGCGCGGGTAACAAGCGAAGCAACAGCTGCGGGCGCTGCCACTGCGGGCCAGCGCCCGTTTCTGTTTCTGAGGTTCAGCCCTCCTTGTCGTGCTGGCGCAGGAACGAGCCAAGGTGCCCTCCTACATGTCCCAGGAGAAAGCCAGAATCGTACAACATCTCCTCATGTGTAAGTCGCCCGCGACGCACAAGCCCCCGAAGGCCGACCAGCCCTCCCGAGGGCCAGAGGATATCCCCAGAAGTCCTCTGGATGGCAAGACAAGCGGAACATGACTTTATGCTGGGCAAATGTATGCAAGTGTTACGCCGTGTGATCCCGCATGGTCCAAAACGGCTTGCAACTGTCAGATTTGACGGTTCTAGGGCCGTCCTGATCCGCGCTCTAGCGATCCAAGACCCCCGCCCCCCAAAGGGCCTCACGACGGACCCAGACCATGCCTACACGGTCCCAGCGCGCTGGTGGATAAAAGTGGCACATATGCATTGAGAAGGAGGAGAAGGCATGGGACGAGAAAGTGGAGGAGAGTAAACAAAGAACGACGGGAGCAAACAAGGGAGGTGGGGTAAGGATGGGATGGTCGTGACCATACCTTGGAACACGTGGATAATAATCTAGCTTAATGGCGCACTGGCTAAGCAAGCTACGCAAAAGTAACTACGGGAAAACCGCGGCAGGTTTACCTCTAGGCTGCGACATGGCACGTCTAACTCAATAGGAAGGATGACAAGGAGGAGGAGGAGGAGGAGGAGGAGAAGGATGTGGAGGAGGCGGAGGAGGACGAGGAGGAGGACGAGGAGGAGGAGGAGGAGGGGAAAAGCAGCAAGGGGAGGAGGAGGAGGAGGAGGAGGAGGAGGAGGAGGAGGAGGAGGAGGAGTGCTCGCGGAGGCCTGAGACACATTCATATAAGGAATACGCAGAGCTGCGGCGCCGCCAAAAACAAATATACGCTGATGGGCATGGAGGTGCATACTAGTAAGCAGGCGAGCGATATTTCCCGATAGCCTTATATGTGTATATTTAGGTGTGTGCATGCATACATACATCCATCCATCCATCCATCCATCCATCCATCCATCCATCCATACATGCATACATACCTACACACATACATACATACATACATACATACATACATACATACATACATACATACATACATACATACATACATACATACATACATACATACATACATACACACACACATACATACATACATACATACATACATACATACATACATACATACATACATACATACATACATACATACATATATACATGTACTAGAACCACTCGCGCGCGCTACGCGCGCGCCTAGGTCCTGGACCACTTTGAAAACCGCATTCTCATCCACCTCCCCGTCCACCTCCTCCTCATCCTAGGCCGTGTCGGGGCTGGAGCGGGAGTTCCAACATACCCCCAAGTGAAGGTGGAAATCTGGAAGGACTGGCGAAGTAACCATTCGAGAAAAACCTTGAGATTAAAAGGTGGAGGGTGGAGCTTAAAACTAATATGTAGGAGGTTCGGAATGACAGAGGAAACACGGCTGAAGCTGGGAAGGCAAAGAGGGGGAGGGCGAGAAAGACCGTCGGGGCTTACGACAGCGACTGTAATGGCTATGGGCCCATCCCGCCGCCGTCCTGGAGTTTGGGTCGAAAGCCTGTAGGATGTTTGGTGGGAAGGCGACGGAGTCCCCGCGGGGGCCCCTTGGGGGCCGATTCTGGGCCTTTCTTGTTGACTATCCTGGGCCGTCTTGGGCGCCCCATGAGGCCGCCTGGAGCCTGCATGGGTCTCTATTTGTAGTTTTCCTTTCCGCGTCGTCGTCCTCCTTCTCCTCCTCCTCCTCATCCTCCTCCTCCTAGCCAGAGCGACCATAAGGCTCGGCAGCGGGCCGGGTGCATCAGTCACCATAGGGCGACGCCACCCGACCGCGCTGGAGGCAACCATAGGGCTTCCAACGGCGACCGGGTAAGGGAGGGTGGGACGGGCGGGAGGGGGCCTCATGGAACTCATTGGCTTTCAAAGGAAATCCCCACCACCCCTGGCGCAGTGCGTGCGGCGTCAGGGAGGGGCTGGGCGGCCCGCGCACCCACTCGCCCACCATAGGGGAGGTTGCAAAGTCCCTGTGCGTGGGACGGGGTGGGCGCGGAGAGGCACCATACGCCCTCCAACCTTATAGGGTTCAGGCACCAGAAGCCTGCCTGAAGTCAGAGGGTCGGCACCATCCCGGAAACTTTGTGCCATACGCTAGGTAATTTACTGTATGCGTTCATCGACTTCAAGGTCTCATCATCCTCCTGCGCATCCTCCTCTTCGGTCTTCGAGTCGGACAAGTGGCGACAATCATGCTCCCAGAAGGCTCTCTAGGAACACGATGGGGTGGGCCGTGTGGGGGGCCCTCGTTTTCAGGGTATCCAAATGAGGCTGCCCAGCCCGAAGGACGGGCCAGTGGAAACGTTTGCAAACATTGAGATGGCGGTGAGGCTTGGCATGGAGGCGGGGGAGGCGCAAAGTTTCGACTGAAGAACGGAAGGGGCTGAAAAAGCCACAGCAAGGCGCTGCGCTGAATTGGGGTGTTCGGTGAGACGGCGCGGACTGTCCTCCTCATGTTCGGCCTCCTTGCCGTACTGGCGGTGACAATCATGTTCCCGGACAGCTCCCCGGGAACATGGCTTGTGGGGTCGTATTGCAGTCCTCGTGGAAGTTGCCAGGGTACCTCAAAGGAGGCTGCCAAGCCCGAAGGACAGCCAGAGTGAGCCATTCGGAGATGTTGTCATGGTGGTGCGGCTGCGAAGTGAGATGGGGAAGGCGTGAGGTAACGAATCAAGAACGGTAGGAGCTGGGTAGGACAGGCGAGGACAGAAGGGGTGTCGAAAGAGGCTTCGCGGGTGCTTCTTGGCCTCTTGGGGCCGGTTTGGGAGCCTTCTGGGGCGCCGTGGGGGCCTCTTGTGGTCCTCTTGGGACCCCGTGGCAACATCAGGGAGCCTTTTCTCTTGGGGGGCTCCCGGGAGCCGCTTGGGGCGAAAGGATCGGATTTTTGAGTCATGCCCCCCCTCCAGAAGGCCATCTTCGGGCCGTCTTGAGGGCCTCTGAGGCCGCCTCGGGCGCCCCTGGGGCCGTCAAGAAGCTATCGAAGGCCGTTCCGGGTCCTCTTGGGCGCCCCTGGGCCCGTCCTGAGGCGGTGTTGGAGGCCTCTTGGGCCGTCGCGAATTGTCGGAAGCTGGAAGAGTGGAGGAGCCCCAAAAAGGTGACAAACCCTAGCGAAACCAATGCTTCTTGCTTCTCGGGGCACTCGTCTGGGGCCTCGGGCGCCCTCTAGAGCCTACCCGGGGCCGTCCTGGCCTTCTTGGGCCTCCGGGGAGCTTCATGAGGCGGAAAACTCGAAATCCCACCAGCCCTCTGGGCGTAGCTGGTCTAACGATGTTTTTCTTTCCTCTTCCATAAAACCCATCTTCCCCTTCGCGGAGGGGTTCACCTCTCCCCCTAACCCCCTCCCCTGGACCTGGACGGGGCGCCCCGCGAGGTGGCAGAGGGTCCCTTTTCGCTCAAGATGGTTCCAAGAGGGCCTCCGATGCACCAAGATGGCCTCCAAGATGATTCAAAATAGGGCAACATGGCTCAGGATAGCTAACAGCATGCCTCCGATAGGCCCCAAGAGGGCCACAAAACGGTTCCAAGTGCTCTCGGAGACCCCTCAGGACCCCCCAAAAGCTCCAAATCCTTCAAAAACCTACGGACAATCAATGATTTGTGCCTTCTCGCCGTTTCGCTTCCGACGCGCTTCTGAGGCCTCAAGTTGGCCGCAAGATTACCCAAGGCCCCAAGAGGGGCCCAAGAGGCCCCCAAGACGGCCTCAAGGGCGCCCACGAACGCTCCAAGAGGGCCCCAAGAGCGCCCCAAGAGACGGTTTTGAGGGCCCCAAGAGGGGGGGGGGACCAACGTAAAGGAACCCCGATAGTTTGATCGATGCCCTCCAAGATGGGCCCAAGAGGCTCTCCAGGACTCCCAGGAAGGCCCCACGAGAGCCCAAGAAGGTCCAAGGAGCGCCCCGAGGGGCGCCAAGACGCCCCCCAAAGAGCCCGATATGGCCCCAGGAGGCGGCGGTCCGGGGCTCCCAGGAAAGCCCCAAAAAGAGCCCCAAGAGGGCTCCGCGAGGGTCCCAAGGGGGCCCCAAGAGGACCCCGAGAGACCCCCGAGCGGCCTCAGAGAGCCCAAGATGACCTTCACGATGGCTCAGATAGCCCAAGCTGGCTCAAGATGGCCCCCAAGATGCTCCAAACGGCCCCAAGATCGTTCCAAGAGCGCCCGAGACGGCTCCAAGAGAGCCCCAAGAAGCGGTTTGCGGGTTCCTGAGGGGGGAGCTGAGCTGGGGACCCCCCCATCCTGTAATCGATGGCCTCCAAGATGATCCCAAGAAGCCTTCCAGGGTTACCATGAGGGGTGCCAGAGGGCCCCCCAAACTCCCAGAGAGCACCAGCAGCAGCAGCAGCAGCAGCAGCAGCAGCAGCAGCAGCAGCCGCAATAATACCTCTAGACGGTTCCATGGGTCCTCGCCCGCGTCGTCCTCATCCTAGTCTTATAGAATGGAATGCCTGCTAGACTCTTTAAGAACTTGAAACGCCCAAAAGGCTTCAAAAAGGCTCAAAGAGCATTCTGGCGTGTAAGCTTAGAAAAGGTATAAAAAGGCTATAAAAAAGATGGGCTAATGTTGCGGACACCATGCGCAACAATGAAAGTATCCTTTGCCGCCACGTGATCAAGGCTCCTGGCAGCGGCGGTCACCGTCGCCGTAGCCGCGGCGGTCATCGTGGTCGTCGCCGTCCTCCTCGCTGCCACCGTCGTCATCGTCGCTGCCGTCATCTCGTCGTCATCGACGAGACGATGGAAGCGACGACGACGACGAAGGCGACGACAACGACGGCGACGGCAACGACAACCACGACGACCACCGCGGCTAGGGCGACGGCGGCGAGGACAACCTCGGCCACGAGGCTTGACCCAGTGGCGGACAAGGCTGTTTGATGTTGCGCGCGGTGTCCGCAACTGCCGTCCATCTGTATCATATCATATTTGCTGCCCGCTTGGGCCGTACACGCCAGAGCCCCCTGTGAGCATGCGAGATGACTTTTGATCATTTCCAGTTAGCTGATCGTCGCCTTCTAGATAGTGACGCCCAGGGTAGGATGGGGCAGAGTAGAACGCTGTAGACGAAGGGAGGGCAACGTAGGGTAGAGCAGAGAGGGGCGATGGAGTTACAAGTGCAAGAAGGAAACACACATAATGCAAGGGCAGGGCAAGGCATAGTAGGGCGCATCGAAGTAAAGCAGGGTAGATTAAATCAGAGTAGCAGTAGGGCAAGGAAGGGTAGGATAGGTCAGGGTAGACTGGAGTTGAGTAAACTAGAATAGCAGCTAGAGCGCATAGACACCATAGTGGGCCAAGGCGGGGCAGGGCAGGGTAGAGCACGGAAACGCCGCGGACACAGGGCCAACATATAATACACCAGCGCACGTGCGATCCAAGAGGGGGCCAAGCCCAGGAAACCGAAGGGGCAATCCAGACGGGGCTAAACGCGAAGCGTCCTGGAGTAAAGCGCATCGTCGGTGCCGAAGGCGAAAGCCTCTGGAATAAAGAACCCAAGACGGCCCCAAGACGGCCCTAAGACCCAAGACGGCCCCAAGACGGCCCTTAAGACGCACCCATGTCTTGGAAAGCAGCCTGGCGGTGCTGAACGCGAAGCGTTAAGGGATATTGGGCACACTTCGGAGCTGAACGCGAAAGCGTCTCGATATGCGAGGCATCCCCTCTCTGTTTTTAAAAGCTCTAAGGGTCAAGAAGATACCGAAACACGTCTCTTCCACTCCAACAGCAAAAGAAACTGCACGTAACTGCACGCAGGACTTGTCTGCGCACTTTGGTGGATTCGGCCACCTCTCATGATTACACTGTCAGTTGCACAGACGATCCGAGTGTCTGCATTTCCCCATGCAAGTGCGGCCAAACTATTGAGCTGAACACGGTCTGAAAATGATAATCAATCCGAGCTTGAGTTTGTGTTCCACTACATCCGTTCACGGCCTGAAATTGAGAGTCAACCCTGCCTTGAACTTGAACGCCGCTGCGCTGTGCAAGAGGGTCGGCTCAACCTTGTAGAACCTGAGCTTCCCCTGGCTTTCTGGAGAGAGCTACGCAAGCTCACCTTGTTCGAAACCAGCTTATCGTCAGTGAGGCTTCTCGTGATATCGGCCATGGCTGCGATGGCAGCGCACTGCTTTACGTTGAGCTGCGCATTCTCCACGAGTTTGCATTCGGGGTCCGCTGGTACCTGGTACTCCGAGCGCTTGGTCAAGTAGATGCTCACAGCCTTTCCAACACGAGCGACGACTGTGACTACGACGACGGCGACGACGATGACGACGACGACGACGAAACGAACCGAGATTTTTGCCTCGACGGGCAGGGCAGAAATCCCCTCACAAGACGACGACGACGACGCTGACGACGACGACGGCGACGACGAAGACGACGACGAGTCCGAAACCTTGTTCAACTCGTCGCAAAGGTGGTACACTTCGGCGGCCGCCAGCTCCTTGAAGGTGTCTGCGATCTTGACGATGTCCGCCCAGCTGCTGGTGTCACTGACGTGCAGCTTGTAAGTGGAGTACGCGGGGCTCTGGTCCAGGGTCGACTGCAGCTTCTCCGAAGCCTCCGTCACCGCGTCCTTCCTGGCAGCCATCTTCAAACCGACCGCCTGCGTGTAATATGTTTCGGACAGGGAAACAAGCTCATTGTATGTATCTCTGAAGGTAAGGCCAACTTCGTCGAGGCTAGCGGTGATGTTCGAGATGGCGTTGGTGCAGGTGGTCAGATCCGTCTTGGCCTTCACGAAGGCCCTCCACAGCTTCTCGTTCGGATCCGCAGTGAGCACCATCTGCATGTCGACGTCCCGCTCCTTCAGATCACCTATAAACTTCGAGAGCGCGCTCCTGAGCGACGAAGTCTTCTTAATCAAGTCCATGTGAAACGCGAGCTTCTCGCGGTCGGATTGGAAGCCGGAAATCCTGTTCAGCACGTCGGTGTACACGTCGAACTTGTCGCCCAAGGTGGTCTGGATAGCATCCGTCTTCATCGAGAAATCCCAAAGCTGAGATACAGCGGTCTGAAGATCATCGGTAGCTGAATCCGCACTCAGACTGAGGCGCTTCACGTCGGCGTGCAAGACTGCAATGTCGATCATCCCCTCGCGGAACTTGTTCATGCTGCCGATGATTGAAGTGGTCGTGGTTTCTTGATCTGCACTCCTGATGGCGTTCATTACCCTATCCTTTAAACGCGAGATGGCATCATCGAACTGGCACACCTGATAGACCTTCTCGACGACCTCCGAGTAAGACTCGAGCAACGCATGGTAACGAGTCGGGTCATTGGCAGTGTCGCCAGGGAAGTCCTTCTCGAGAACAGCAGTGGCTGCCTTGTGAATGACCTGGACCAGCGAGGTCTCGAGCATCTGGATTGGCTCAGCCCCCAACCTGGCGATGTAGTTGGGGAGACGATCGATCAGTGACTTGGCCCGCACTGGGAAGGCATTCACATCCATCGTCTTCGAAAGAGCCTCGACTTCGGACAAGTCCTGGGCGACTAGAGGCGCCAGCTCCAGGTAGACCTTCTCCCTGGAGATCACGTTCTTCAGGAGCGTCTTCCAGTGGGGCGACTGCCCCAGAGCAGCCCCGACCTGCGCCCAAGCGTCTGTGGCCCCTGCTTTGCCGCCAGCAGCCTGCAAGGTGCCGATGTCGGCGCAGGTGTCTTTCTGCGCGGACTTCCCGATGGTTTTCGAGGCTGCCGTCTGGATCGCCTCGCATATCTGCTTGACCTCGACAATGGCCTGAGCGCACTCCTCGGAGATGTCGCATTCCTCGGGGAGCTGGAAGAATACGAAGGCCGTCTCGATGAAGTCTAGGACCTGTCGCTCCATAAGGGCGTCGCCCAGAATGAGCGGGATGAGGTAGGAGATCAGCACCTCCTCGACGAACACGGCTGCCTTGGTGCTGCTGGGAAGTCTCGCCTCTGCAAGGCAGGGGTCACGGAACATGAGTACTCTGGGAACAGCTCCAGCGCCAGCATTGGACCACGCGCGGCAACGTTGAAATGTTTTCAGCAATTGGGATCGGGAGCGTTGCGATGATTCCTGGCCCTTGCTCCAGACGTCGTAATCCTTTTTCCCCCAGTACTTGACAAGTTTGAGCTGAACAGCTGCAGGGATCACCGCCCCTGCCTCCGTGAGCTCCGCCATGTGTTTGTTCGAGGTATCTGGATGGAGCGTCTCCATGCGAACGATCTCCTTAGCCAGGGTTACCAGGTGGAGGTGCTTCCTGATGGTCGGCAACTTTCCCTCAGGAACCTTCCCCAAGAGAACCTCTAGCTGATGAGGGCCCTGGCCGAGTTTCGCGCCAGCCATGGCGCATGTCAAGTTCAGGTCGTGAATCCAATACTCGGGGGTACCCTTCTGGAACTCGTTCGGGGTATTCTGGATCTCCGAAGGAATGCCATGGCGGCCCCCAGGGGGAAGCACCGTGCCGCTGCTGCCGCGAAGCAAGCTGCCAGGCGTCCTTGGGCCCCTCTCGCTGGTAGGCGAAGGCTGAGGCGTGCGGCACGTGCCCGAGACCGCCGAGTCGGCGTAGCACGCTGCGGCGTCCCTCGGGGCCTCGATGTCCTCGTCGTCGTCCTCGACGCCCTCCTCTCGTTCGTGGTCAGGCACGTCGCCGATGGCCAAAGCTGGAGGATTCCCTGACCCTGAGCCGCTTTGCACCCATGCCCCAGAACCCCTGGGGGAGGGCGCCGGCGTGGGAGGTACTTCGCTGACCCGCACGCGGCCAGCAGCGTGGGGCGAGAAGTCCGTCAGCTGAACCCTGCCGCCGCCCAACTCCGCGCTCCTGTCGTTGACGGCGTCCACGGTCGGCGAGCGGATGGTCGAGAAAGCGCGCCTCGGATTGCTCGTATCCCGAGCCTGGGCGGTCATCACCCTGTCGGGCTGCGAGGCGAAGCAACCCATGCCATTCTGCATCAAGTTCTGCATCACGTAGTCGAACGACTCGCTGTACAAGCGGAGCCTCGGCCAACTGTTGTCGTTCTCCTTGATGGGGTACACCGTGGTCTCGACGCCGTTCCGACCGCGCCACTTCAGGGGCCTGAGGCGCAACTGCTTCGGCGTCTTCTTCCATGTCGACACGACCTGGTGGTGGTTGGGCGCAAGGTAGTCCTCGAAGAGGGTGCTGCCTATCTGCGAGCCCTCGCCAGCCTCGATGCCGAAGGGCGCCTCGTCGCTCTCGCCTATGTTCATGGCCCCATCCACCTCCTGAGCGAAATTCTCGTCCTCCTTCTTGTCGCGGACGACGTCCGCAAACGCGCACCCTGGAAGGTTGCGGCTGGCGAAGTCCACGCAGTCAGTGCAACCGAAGCACTCGAACGCCTCCTCAGCCTTCCCACCCTCCCCGACCCTGGCCGTCGCAATGAACACGTCATCAACGAAGGTCTTGTGGCGGTCCTCGGGCGATTCGGGAAGCTGCCCTCCTCCTCGTCCTCCTCCTCGTCCTCCTCCTCCGTCTCGTCGCCAATCCCGTTATCCTCGTCGTCGTCATCATCCTCGTCGTCGTCCTCGTCCTCGTCCTCCTCCTCCCCGTCGTTCGTTAACCTCGTCGTCGCCCCCCCCCATCATCGCGGTTCGTTATCCTCGTCGTCCGTTATCCTCATCGCCGACGCCACCTCCTCAGCGTCGTCCGTTATCTTCGTCGTCGTCGTCGTTAGTCATCTTTATCATCATCGCCAACCCGCCTCCCTCCTCCGCCTCAAACCACTCTGATTCGAATTGCGTTCGGGGGTTCCGCGGGCTCCTGCTCCCCAGCATCGCACAGGCCGCAGATCCGAAGAGCTCGCTTCCTCGCCCTCTTCTCGACTGGACCAGCGGCGCCCTCGCTGCCAGACGCGGCTGCCGCTTGGCGACGCCTGGTTGGCTTCGCGCCGCGGTCGGCCATGACCGAAACGATATCTGGCTGGACGTTGAAGCGTTCCGACTAGCAGAAACTCGACGGGCAGCGCCTGTCCTTAGCTCAGACACCCTCGGACAAAAATGGGCTATGGCATGGCGTCGGAGGCGCCCTCGAAGGTTCTCCGAGTAGGCTTGCCTGAACGAGTCCTCGCTCATGTCCAACGCTATCGGACCATACCCCGTCTTGCCACAAGGACCCCTCTTTATCAAGTAGGCTTGCCAATAAGAGTTCTCGCGCATCCCCGAACAGTGCAGGAGCACAGTACCCACAGCACACAAGAACATCAACAGCTGGTATCATCTATTCCATAGATGGCACCGGCTGTTTACGCGTGCTCTGCCGTTGCCGCCCTTGTCGTGGGACATGTCCTCATGAGACGGGTGCGTGTGCTTCATGGCTATCATACGTGCGCGCTCCCTTGCTGTATGCGCGGTTGTAACACGTATGCTTTGTTGTTTGTATGTGATGTTGCTTTGTAGTACACCTCCACGCTGTATGTGTTGCTCGCGTGTGTTGCTGTACGCGTTGTTGCCTTATACACGTTGCTTGCATGTGTTGATGTCTGCGTGTGCTGCTGCCTCGTACGCGTTATTGCTAGTATATGTTGTTTAGCTGTACTTGATGTGGTGTGCTGACCTTTTGCTCGGCGCAGTCACTTGCGTCTTCCATATAGGCGTTTCTGGATGATTCAGCACGGGCACGTCCAAGCACACCTCAACTAGGTGCAATCTGGCGACACTGGGACTGCCGTGCACCCACGGCTGAGTACTTGTAGCAGGCTATCGCTGCTACGGAAGATGGATGCAGGGCGCGCTGAGCCCAGACGGGACGTGGAGGGAGGCGGATCCAGGGACACATGATAAAACGAGCGAAGCAATAATAATGGGAGGGCATGAGGGGGGGAGTACTTACGATAAGGAAGGCTGGTAAAGAGAGCTGTCCTGCGCCTTGCTGCCGACTCAGTCGTAGGTGCTGCCCTAGGTCGAGCCGCTGCTGGTGTCGCCCGCGTCCTCCGCATCGTCCATGATCCTAGCGTGGTCATCGCCCCGCTCCTGGTCAAGCTTGAGAATGTCCTCTGCTCTCTCTCTGATGTTGCCCACCTGGGTGCGGAGAGAGCGGATCCGTGCCTTCAGCATGCGGATGTACATTTTCGCCAACCTCAACTGCTTCCACACTTTCTGGAAGCGCCCTCTCATCGGCGGTTCTAGATTACGCTTCCACAGAGGCGTCTGCGGCATGATGAGTGAGATCGGACCTGCTTCAATGTAACACGGGGTGATTGATTCTGCCAAAATCAACGCTTGCTTGGCAGCTGGGGAGCCTCAGACCTACGGAAAAGACGACTGCAAAAACTCTAGCGCTGACTCCAACATAGCTTGTTGTTCGGTTGTATTCCCGAGCTCCAGCGGTGACTCCAAATACAAAGTCAAACATTCGATGGAGATGACCAGTTCTGTAAGAACTCCATGTGTGCGTAGATACGCACTGCAGCACGTAAGAACTCCAGCGGTGACCCCACCGCCACATCGCGGGACTCCAGGGTAACTCCAGCGGTAACTCCAGCGGTGACTCCAGGGGCTGGGCGGCCCGCGCACCCACTCGCCCACCATAGGGGAGGTTGCAAAGTCCCTGTGCGTGGGACGGGGTGGGCGCGGAGAAGCACCATACGCCCTCCAACCTCATAGGGTTCAGGCACCAGAAGCCTGCCTGAAGTCAGAGGGTCGGCACCATCCCGGAAACTTTGTGCCATACGCTAGGTAATTTACTGTATGCGTTCATCGACTTCAAGGTCTCATCATCCTCCTGCGCATCCTCCTCTTCGGTCTTCGAGTCGGACAAGTGGCGACAATCATGCTCCCAGAAGGCTCTCTAGGAACACGATGGGGTGGGCCGTGTGGGGGGCCCTCGTTTTCAGGGTATCCAAATGAGGCTGCCCAGCCCGAAGGACGGGCCAGTGGAAACGTTTGCAAACATTGAGATGGCGGTGAGGCTCGGCATGGAGACGGGGGAGGCGCAAAGTTTCGACTGAAGAACGGAAGGGGCTGAAAAAGCCACAGCAAGGCGCTGCGCTGAATTGGGGTGTTCGGTGAGACGGCGCGGACTGTCCTCCTCATGTTCGGCCTCCTTGCCGTACTGGCGGTGACAATCATGTTCCCGGACAGCTCCCCGGGAACATGGCTTGTGGGGTCGTATTGCAGTCCTCGTGGAAGTTGCCAGGGTACCTCAAAGGAGGCTGCCAAGCCCGAAGGACAGCCAGAGTGAGCCATTCGGAGATGTTGTCATGGTGGTGCGGCTGCGAAGTGAGATGGGGAAGGCGTGAGGTAACGAATCAAGAGCGGTAGGAGCTGGGTAGGACAGGCGAGGACAGAAGGGGTGTCGAAAGAGGCTTCGCGGGTGCTTCTTGGCCTCTTGGGGCCGGTTTGGGAGCCTTCTGGGGCGCCGTGGGGGCCTCTTGTGGTCCTCTTGGGACCCCGTGGCAACATCAGGGAGCCTTTTCTCTTGGGGGGCTCCCGGGAGCCGCTTGGGGCGAAAGGATCGGATTTTTGAGTCATGCGCCCCCTCCAGAAGGCCATCTTCGGGCCGTCTTGAGGGCCTCTGAGGCCGCCTCGGGCGCCCCTGGGGCCGTCAAGAAGCTATCGAAGGCCGTTCCGGGTCCTCTTGGGCGCCCCTGGGCCCGTCCTGAGGCGGCGTTGGAGGCCTCTTGGGCCATCGCGAATTGTCGGAAGCTGGAAGAGTGGAGGGGCCCCAAAAAGGTGACAAACCCTAGCGAAACCAATGCTTCGTGCTTCTCGGGGCACTCGTCTGGGGCCTCGGGCGCCCTCTAGAGCCTACCCGGGGCCGTCCTGGCCTTCTTGGGCCTCCGGGGAGCTTCGTGAGGCGGAAAACTCGAAATCCCACCAGCCCTCTGGGCGTAGCTGGTCTAACGATGTTTTTCTTTCCTCTTCCATAAAACCCACCTTCCCCTTCGCGGAGGGGTTCACCCCTCCCCCTAACCCCCTCCCCTGGACCTGGACGGGGCGCCCCGCGAGGTGGCAGAGGGTCCTTTTTCGCTCAAGATGGTTCCAAGAGGGCCTCCGATGCACCAAGATGGCCTCCAAGATGATTCAAAATAGGGCAACGTGGCTCAGGATAGCTAACAGCATGCCTCCGATAGGCCCCAAGAGGGCCACAAAACGGTTCCAAGTGCTCTCGGAGACCCCTCAGGACCCCCCAAAAGCTCCAAATCCTTCAAAAACCTACGGACAATCAATGATTTGTGCCTTCTCGCCGTTTCGCTTCCGACGCGCTTCTGAGGCCTCAAGTTGGCCGCAAGATTACCCAAGGCCCCAAGAGGGGCCCAAGAGGCCCCCAAGACGGCCTCAAGAGCGCCCACGAACGCTCCAAGAGGGCCCCAAGAGCGCCCCAAGAGACGGTTTTGAGGGCCCCAAGAGGGGGGGGGGGGGGACCAACGTAAAGGAACCCCGATAGTTTGATCGATGCCCTCCAAGATGGGCCCAAGAGGCTCTCCAGGACTCCCAGGAAGGCCCCACGAGAGCCCAAGAAGGTCCAAGGAGCGCCCCGAGGGGCGCCAAGACGCCCCCCAAAGAGCCCGATATGGCCCCAGGAGGCGGCGGTCCGGGGCTCCCAGGAAAGCCCCAAAAAGAGCCCCAAGAGGGCTCCGCGAGGGTCCCAAGGGGGCCCCAAGAGGACCCCGAGAGACCCCCGAGCGGCCTCAGAGAGCCCAAGATGACCTTCACGATGGCTCAGATAGCCCAAGCTGGCTCAAGATGGCCCCCAAGATGCTCCAAACGGCCCCAAGATCGTTCCAAGAGCGCCCGAGACGGCTCCAAGAGAGCCCCAAGAAGCGGTTTGCGGGTTCCTGAGGGGGGAGCTGAGCTGGGGACCCCCCCATCCTGTAATCGATGGCCTCCAAGATGATCCCAAGAAGCCTTCCAGGGTTACCATGAGGGGTGCCAGAGGGCCCCCCAAACTCCCAGAGAGCACCAGCAGCAGCAGCAGCAGCAGCAGCAGCCGCAATAATACCTCTAGACGGTTCCATGAGTCCTCGCCCGCGTCGTCCTCATCCTAGTCTTATGGAATGGAATGCCTGCTAGACTCTTGAAGAACTTGAAACGCCCAAAAGGCTTCAAAAAGGCTCAAAGAGCATTCTGGCGTGTAAGCTTAGAAAAGGTATAAAAAGGCTATAAAAAGATGGGCTAATGTTGCGGACACCATGCGCAACAATGAAAGTATCCTTTGCCGCCACGTGATCAAGGCTCCTGGCAGCGGCGGTCACCGTCGCCGTAGCCGCGGCGGTCATCGTGGTCGTCGCCGTCCTCCTCGCTGCCACCGTCGTCATCGTCGCTGCCGTCATCTCGTCGTCATCGACGAGACGATGGAAGCGACGACGACGACGAAGGCGACGACAACGACGGCGACGGCAACGACAACCACGACGACCACCGCGGCTAGGGCGACGGCGGCGAGGACAACCTCGGCCACGAGGCTTGACCCATTGGCGGACAAGGCTGTTTGATGTTGCGCGCGGTGTCCGCAACTGCCGCCCATCTGTATCATATCATATGTGCTGCCCGCTTGGGCCGTACACGCCAGAGTCCCCTGTGAGCATGCGAGGTGACTTTTGATCATTTCCAGTTAGCTGATCGTCGCCGTCTAGATAGTGACGCCCAGGGTAGGATGGGGCAGAGTAGAACGCTGTAGACGAAGGGAGGGCAACGTAGGGTAGAGTAGAGAGGGGCGATGGAGTTACAAGTACAAGAAGGAAACACACATGATGCAAGGGCAGGGCAAGGCATAGTAGGGCGCATCGAAGTAAAGCAGGGTCGATTAAATCAGAGTAGCAGTAGGGCAAGGAAGGGTAGGATAGGTCAGGTAGACTGGAGTTGAGTAAACTAGAACAGCAGCTAGAGCGCATAGACACCATGGTGGGCCAAGGCGGGGCAGGGCAGGGTAGAGCACGGAAACGCCGCGGACACAGGGCCAACATATAATACACCAGCGCACGTGCGATCCAAGAGGGGGCCAAGCCCAGGAGACCGAAGGGGCAATCCAGACGGGGCTAAACGCGAAGCGTCCTGGAGTAAAGCGCATCGTCGGTGCCGAAGGCGAAAGCCTCTGGAATAAAGAACCCAAGACGGCCCCAAGACGGCCCTAAGACCCAAGACGGCCCCAAGACGGCCCTTAAGACGCACCCATGTCTTGGAAAGCAGCCTGGCGGTGCTGAACGCGAAGCGTTAAGGGATATTGGGCACGCTTCGGAGCTGAACGCGAAAGCGTCTCGATATGCGAGGCATCCCCTCTCTGTTTTTAAAAGCTCTAAGGGTCAAGCAGATACCGAAACAAGTCTCTTCCACTCCAACAGCAAAAGAAACTGCACGTAACTGCACGCAGGACTTGTCTGCGCACTTTGGTGGATTCGGCCACCTCTCATGATTACACTGTCAGTTGCACAGACGATCCGAGTGTCTGCATTTCCCCATGCAAGTGCGGCCAAACTATTGAGCTGAACACGGTCTGAAAATGATAATCAATCCGAGCTTGAGTTTGTGTTCCACTACATCCGTTCACGGCCTGAAATTGAGAGTCAACCCTGCCTTGAACTTGAACGCCACTGCGCTGTGCAAGAGGGTCGGCTCAACCTTGTAGAACCTGAGCTTCCCCTGGACTTTCTGGAGAGAGCTACGCAAGCTCACCTTGTTCGAAACCAGCTTATCGTCAGTGAGGCTTCTCGTGATATCGGCCATGGCTGCGATGGCAGCGCACTGCTTTACGTTGAGCTGCGCATTCTCCACGAGCATGCATTCGGGGTCCGCTGGTACCTGGTACTCCGAGCGCTTGGTCAAGTAGATGCTCACAGCCTTTCCAACACGAGCGACGACTGTGACTACGACGACGGCGACGACGATGACGACGACGACGACGAAACGAACCGAGATTTTTGCCTCGACGGGCAGGGCAGAAATCCCCTCACAAGACGACGACGACGACGCTGACGACGACGACGGCGACGACGAAGACGACGACGAGTCCGAAACCTTGTTCAGCTCGTCGCAAAGGTGGTGCACTTCGGCGGCCGCCAGCTCCTTGAAGGTGTCTGCGATCTTGACGATGTCCGCCCAGCTGCTGGTGTCACTGACGTGCAGCTTGTAAGTGGAGTACGCGGGGCTCTGGTCCAGGGTCGACTGCAGCTTCTCCGAAGCCTCCGTCACCGCGTCCTTCCTGGCAGCCATCTTCAAACCGACCGCCTGCGTGTAATATGTCTCGGACAGGGAAACAAGCTCATTGTATGTATCTCTGAAGGTAAGGCCAACTTCGTCGAGGCTAGCGGTGATGTTCGAGATGGCGTTGGTGCAGGTGGTCAGATCCGTCTTGGCCTTCACGAAGGCCCTCCACAGCTTCTCGTTCGGATCCGCAGTGAGCACCATCTGCATGTCGACGTCCCGCTCCTTCAGATCACCTATAAACTTCGAGAGCGCGCTCCTGAGCGACGAAGTCTTCTTAATCAAGTCCATGTGAAACGCGAGCTTCTCGCGGTCGGATTGGAAGCTGGAAATCCTGTTCAGCACGTCGGTGTACACGTCGAACTTGTCGCCCAAGGTGGTCTGGATAGCATCCGTCTTCATCAAGAAATCCCAAAGCTGAGATACAGCGGCCTGAAGATCATCGGTGGCTGAATCCGCACTCAGACTGAGGCGCTTCACGTCGGCGTGCAAGACTGCAATGTCGATCATCCCCTCGCGGAACTTGTTCATGCTGCCGATGATTGAAGTGGTCGTGGTTTCTTGATCTGCACTCCTGATGGCGTTCATTACCCTATCCTTTAAACGCGAGATGGCATCATCGAACTGGCACACCTGATAGACATTCTCGACGACCTCCGAGTAAGACTCGATCAACGCATGGTAACGAGCCGGGTCATTGGCAGTGTCGCCAGGGAAATCCTTCTCGAGAACAGCAGTGGCTGCCTTGTGAATGACCTGGACCAGCGAGGTCTCGAGCATCTGGATTGGCTCAGCCCCCAACCTGGCGATGTAGTTGGGGAGACGATCGATCAGTGACTTGGCCCGCACTGGGAAGGCATTCACATCCATCGTCTTCGAAAGAGCCTCGACTTCGGACAAGTCCTGGGCGACTAGAGGCGCCAGCTCCAGGTAGACCTTCTCCCTGGAGATCACGTTCTTCAGGAGCGTCTTCCAGTGGGGCGACTGCCCCAGAGCAGCCCCGACCTGCGCCCAAGCGTCTGTGGCCCCTGCTTTGCCGCCAGCAGCCTGCAAGGTGCCGATGTCGGCGTAGGTGTCTTTCTGCGCTGACTTCCCGATGGTTTTCGAGGCTGCCGTCTGGATCGCCTCGCATATCTGCTTGACCTCGACAACGGCCTGAGCGCACTCCTCGGAGATGTCGCATTCCTCGGGGAGCTGGAAGAATACCAAGGCCGTCTCGATGAAGTCTAGGACCTGTCGCTCCATAGGGGCGTCGCCCAGAATGAGCGGGATGAGGTAGGAGATCAGCACCTCCTCGACGAACACGGCTGCCTTGGTGCTGCTGGGAAGTCTCGCCTCTGCAAGGCAGGGGTCACGGAACATTAATACTCTGGGAACAGCTCCAGCGCCAGCATTGGACCACGTGCGGTAACGTTGAAATGTTTTCAGCAATTGGGATCGGGAGCGTTGCGATGATGCCTGGCCCTTGCTCCAGACGTCGTAATCCTTTTTCCCCCAGTACTTGACAAGTTTGAGCTGAACAGCTGCAGGGATCACCGCCCCTGCCTCCGTGAGCTCCGCCATGTGTTTGTTCAAGGTATCTGGATGGAGCGTCTCCATGCGAACGATCTCCTTAGCCAGGGTTGCCAGGTGGAGGTGCTTCCTGATGGTCGGCAACTTTCCCTCAGGAACCTTCCCCAAGAGAACCTCTAGCTGATGAGGGCCCTGGCCGAGTTTCGCGCCAGCCATGACGCATGTCAAGTTCAGGTCGTGAATCCAATACTCGGGGGTACCCTTCTGGAACTCGTTCGGGGTATTCTGGATCTCCGAAGGAATGCCATGGCGGCCCCCAGGGGGAAGCACCGTGCCGCTGCTGCCGCGAAGCAAGCTGCCAGGCGTCCTTGGGCCCCTCTCGCTGGTAGGCGAAGGCTGAGGCGTGCGGCGCGTGCCCGAGACCGCCGAGTCGGCGTAGCACGCTGCGGCATCCCTCGGGACCTCGATGTCCTCGTCGTCGTCCTCGACGCCCTCCTCTCGTTCGTGGTCAGGCACGTCGCCGATGGCCAAAGCTGGAGGATTCCCTGACCCTGAGCCGCTTTGCACCCATGCCCCAGAACCCCTGGGGGAGGGCGCCGGCGTGGGAGGTACTTCGCTGACCCGCACGCGGCCAGCAGCGCGGGGCGAGAAGTCCGTCAGCTGAACCCTGCCGCCGCCCAACTCCGCGCTCCTGTCGTTGACGGCGCCCACGGTCGGCAAGCGGATGGTCGAGAAAGCGCGCCTCGGATTGCTCGTATCCCGAGCCTGGGCGGTCATCACCCTGTCGGGCTGCGAGGCGAAGCAACCCATGCCATTCTGCATCAAGTTCTGCATCGCGTAGTCGAACGACTCGCTGTACAAGCGGAGCCTCGGCCAACTGTTGTCGTTCTCCTTGATGGGGTACACCGTGGTCTCGACGCCGTTCCGACCGCGCCACTTCAGGGGCCTGAGGCACAACTGCTTCGGCGTCTTCTTCCATGTCGACACGACCTGGTGGTGGTTGGGCGCAAGGTAGTCCTCGAAGAGGGTGCCGCCTATCTGCGAGCCCTCGCCAGCCTCGATGCCGAAGGGCGCCTCGTCGCTCTCGCCTATGTTCATGGCCCCGTCCACCTCCTGAGCGAAATTCTCGTCCTCCTTCTTGTCGCGGACGACGTCCGCAAACGCGCGCCCTGGAAGGTTGCGGCTGGCGAAGTCCACGCAGTCAGTGCAACCGAAGCACTCGAACGCCTCCTCAGCCTTCCCACCCTCCCCGACCCTGGCCGTCGCAATGAACACGTCATCAACGAAGGTCTTGTGGCGGTCCTCGGGCGATTCGGGAAGCTGCCCTCCTCCTCGTCCTCCTCCTCGTCCTCCTCCTCCGTCTCGTCGCCAATCCCGTTATCCTCGTCGTCGTCATCATTCTCGTCGTCGTCCTCGTCCTCGTCCTCCTCCTCCCCGTCGTTCGTTAACCTCGTCGTCGCCCCCCCCCCATCATCGTGGTTCGTTATCCTCGTCGTCCGTTATCCTCATCGCCGACGCCACCTCCTCAGCGTCGTCCGTTATCTTCGTCGTCGTCGTCGTTAGTCATCTTTATCATCATCGCCAACCCGCCTCCCTCCTCCGCCTCAAACCACTCTGATTCGAATTGCGTTAGGGGGTTCCGCGGGCTCCTGCTCCCCAGCATCGCACAGGCCGCAGATCCGAAGAGCTCGCTTCCTCGCCCTCTCCTCGACTGGACCAGCGGCGCCCTCGCTGCCAGACGCGGCTGCCGCTTGGCGACGCCTGGTTGGCTTCGCGCCGCGGTCGGCCATGACCGAAACGATATCTGGCTGGACGTTGAAGTGTTCCGACTAGCAGAAACTCGACGGGCAGCGCCTGTCCTTAGCTCAGACACCCTCGGACAAAAATGGGCTATGGCATGGCGTCGGAGGCGCCCTCGAAGGTTCTCCGAGTATGCTTGCCTGGACGAGTCCTCGCTCATGTCCAACGCTATAGGACCATACCCCGTCTTGCCACAAGGACCCCTCTTTATCAAGTAGGCTTGCCAATAAGAGTTCTCGCGCATCCCCGAACAGTGCAGGAGCACAGTACCCACAGTACACAAGAACATCAACAGCTGGTATCATCTATTCCATAGATGGCACCAGCTGTTTACGCGTGCTCTGCCGTTGCCGCCCTTGTCGTGGGACATGTCCTCATGAGACGGGTGCGCGTGCTTCATGGCTATCATGCGTGCGCGCTCCCTTGCTGTATGCGCGGTTGTAACACGTATGCTTTGTTGTTTGTATGTGATGTTGCTTTGTAGTACACCTCCACGCTGTATGTGTTGCTCGCGTGTGTTGCTGTACGCGTTGTTGCCTTATACACGTTGCTTGCATGTGTTGATGTCTGCGTGTGCTGCTGCCTCGTGCGCGTTATTGCTAGTATATGCTGTTTAGCTGTACTGGATGTGGTGTGCTGACCTTTTGCTTAGCGCAATCACTTGCGTCTTCCATATAGGCGTTTCTGGATGATTCAGCACGGGCACCTCCAAGCACACCTCAACTAGGTGCAATCTGGCGACACTGGGACTGCCGTGCACCCACGGCTGAGTACTTGTAGCAGGCTATCGCTGCTACGGAAGATTGATGCAGGGCGCGCTGAGCCCAGACGGGACGTGGAGGGAGGCGGATCCAGGGAGACATGATGAAACGAGCGAAGCAATAATAATGGGAGGGCATGAGGGGGGGAGTACTTACGATAAGGAAGGCTGGTAAAGAGAGCTGTCCTGCGCCTTGCTGCCGACTCAGTCGTAGGTGCTGCCCTAGGTCGAGCCGCTGCTGGTGTCGTCCGCGTCCTCCGCATCGTCCATGATCCTAGCGTGGTCATCGCCCCGCTCCTGGTCAAGCTTGAGAATGTCCTCTGCTCTCTCTCTGATGTTGCCCACCTGGGCGCGGAGAGAGCAGATCCGTGCCTTCAGCATGCGGATGTACATCTTCGCCAGCCTCAACTGCTTCCACACTTTCTGGAAGCGCCCTCATCGGCGGTTCTAGATTACGCTTCCGCAGAGGCGTCTGCGGCATGATGAGTGAGATCGGACCTGCTTCAATGTAACACGGGGTGATTGATTCTGCCAAAATCAACGCTTGCTTGGCAGCTGGGGAGCCTCAGACCTACGGAAAAGACGACTGCAAGAACTCTAGCGCTGACTCCAACATAGCTTGTTGTTCGGTTTTATTCCCGAGCTCCAGCGGTTACTCCAAATACAAAGTCAAACATTCGCACGAGATGACCAGTTCTGTAAGAACTCCATGTGTGCGTAGATACGCACTGCAGCACGTAAGAACTCCAGCGGTGACCCCACCGCCACATGAAAACATCACGCGTGCTTGTTTGAGTGGCCGTGCCGAGTTGCCAAGATGTCCCTGGTCAGCAAGAAAAATCTGGATTTGGGAAATACGCGTTCTCTCATTCCCTATTTCCCTCTCTCAGTCCCCTTCTCTCCCCTTGCCCTTCCTGATCCGTCCCGCTTGATCCCGAAAAGCAACGCAGCGACGTCCCGCATGTATTTCCCAAATCCAGATTTTTTAACTTCCCGAGGCTCTCAGGCCTCGTAGGGACTCATGCGGCTCATGGGCTCCTCAGGTCTCGTAGAAACTTATGTGTCGCTGTGTTGGTTGGTTTATCCATTATTCCGTAGTAAACGCTTGTGCCTGCTCCCACAGGAAGACAATATTATCGTATATGCGCTATTGCTTACGGTTGCTATATACTCCTGCCGTATGTTATGCCTATTGTTGCTATGTGCTCCTACGTGGCTTCGTTTGACACTTAAGTATATTGATTTGCATACGTCCACATGTATGGTTGATGTGTTGTGTGCTGTTTCGTTGTTGTTGTTCATATTCGTTGTTGTTGTTTTCCTAGGAAGGCTGCACTCACAGAGGAACACCTCATACTCGCAACCGTAAGAAGTGTATACATAGCGAGTGTCTGAAGACTTGGCACATGAAAGCAGCCTGAAGCGACCCTGCGAATGACGAGGCTCAAGCAGAACTTCTCCCTCGGCTCCTGAACTCAAAATTTGGCACGTGAGAGCTTCTCCACGAACCAACTTAGCAATCGAGGGAATCTGCGACACCAATGGCGTCGGCCCACATGGCCTGCTCATACTCAAGGGGAGGCTGCGTGCCATAAATCTGATCATCCTCCACCTGCGTGTCCATAACAGCTGAGAGACGGGGACGCTCCATATCCACACCGTAGTCTTTAGCGAACAAGGCAGGGGCTGCTTCGTCTTGGTCACGGTGAGGCCCCATGGCAGCTGCTGTTGCACCCTCTTTAGCTTTGGCACCATCGTTATCCATGGAGAGGTCCGCAAGGCCATCTGCTGCACTACCAGGCGCATCTGCTGGACGAACGTGAGACTCTGGAACTGTAGGCGCTGCGGCAGGCCACTGCGTGGTCAATGCTGGGTCAGGCTTCCGCTGGACAGTTGACGACTGGCCTGGCTTCGGCTCGACCCCTGGCGGCTGGCCAGGCTCATCATCTGGTGACGACGACACCACTTCTGGGTGCCTCAACTGACCCATCTCGGTTAAGCTACTGCGCTGCAACTTCACGGGGGGCTTGATAGCCCCCTCGCCCTCGTCTTGGAGCCTCTTGAGGGAGGCTCGCTGCTCCTGGGACGGGTGTGGCGCCTTCGACCTGACTATAATTTTCAGCGGTATCTGGATGGTGAGTTCCGTCTGCCGTTGGAAACCGTGCGGCAATTCGTTCAAGTTTATCTTTAGCACGGGGTACTCGAAGCCAAGCAGAACCCCCCCAGCATCATGATCGGCCATGGTCGTTGAAGAAAAAATACCTCACTGAATGTCTGGGCAAGTGCTCTGGCAAACGAAACGCGTTGCTTGATGGGCGCAGGAGCTCGAGGAAAAAATGCGAAGCCGAAATCCCCTTGCACACAAGTTGCCTCGGGCCCGCTGTGTTATTGTGCGTGCGCGTGGTGTGCGTGTGATTCCATGGCCAAATACATGGGCTCACAAACTTTCACAAGTGGGATGCAGCGTATAGAACGGGAAACCGTCATAATATGTTCATGCTGTACACATTCGCAGTTAAAGTGTATATTCTTATTGGGGCCCTGGGGCCTTCGATGTCACGACGGCCCTCAATGGTTCCAAGACGGCCGCTGCTGACGCGCTCACGCGAGCCCCATAACAGGTCACGCAACCAAGCGCGTCCCAAGAGATCCCAAACACCCCAGACACCCAGAGAATATCATACACACTTTAATCCGCCGCCCCCCGCGTGGGAAGACCCTCCGCCTGCCTCCCCAGTCCAGGGGTGGATCCATGCCCTCCTTACTTTTGGAGGGCGCCAGGCTTCGCATGCCTTCTGCGCCCCAAACGCACGAGGGGGCAAAGGATTACCCAAGACGCCCCAGGAACCCCCAGACAGACCAGACGCCCATTGGCGCCCCAAGACAGACCTAGAACCCAAGGCTTAAAGGAGTAACAAAGCCGCCCCAGAGACATCCGACAACGAAAGACGCCCCCACCCCATCGGGACCCCAGACACTTTTAATGAGGATTACCAAAGGCACCCCAGACACACCAGACGCCCAAAGAGGCCCAGACACCCCCCATGCACATCAGACACCCCAGGAAGCCCCAAGAAGCCCCAGACACCCCAGACACACATAAAATCCCGCCGCCTCCTGCATGGGAGCGCCCGCCGCCCCCCCCTTCCCCCCCCCCATTCAGAGGGTGGGCCCGCGCCCTCCATATGTTGGAAGGCCCCGTCTGGGAAGGCTCAGACCGCCTGCGCCCTGTTAGGGGATGCAATGGGAATTGTTGTGCATCGCCCTGCTGGCAAGAGAGGGCCGCATTGACATGTCAACATCCTTGTCTACCAAAGGCGCTCTTGCAGCTGGCGTGAAACCTTCCCCTGGCGGAAGAAAAAAAGTGGCACCGTGCTGAACTGGCAGAGAACATTGATCTAGGATAAATGACATCTGTGGGCGCAGGGTCCCCGTGAGCTCCACCATATAAGAGCTTCGCAGTACAATTGCGCATGGCATGGTTTCGCTACTCCATGCTATAGCACTGCGCGTTGGCATGGCGTACCCCCCATAGCGTCATGGCATTGCATTATGGCATAGCATAACATTGCATTATGGCATGTTCAGGTGCGATCCCAAGAAAAGGGCCCGACCCACGAGGACCTTAGGAGCCCTGGGCCTCAAGCCCAGGCCCTAGAACGAAGACTGTAGTGGAAGAGAAACGGTTGCACGTTTTTTTGGGGACCCTTCTCCCCTCTGTCACATATGTCGGGGAGCCGCAAACTATTTGCGTGGGGGGACCGCACGATTGATGATGTTAATAGTAGCCACGTGTGTTGGGATACGATGGGGACAGGATGAGGATTTGATAATGTAGGCTTTGGCTGTGATCGTGTCAGGTTGTAATAGGGCAAATGGGATAAGTATATGGGTGTGATGAGGATAGGATGATGCTGCGTTAAGGGATGGATACTTATAAGATGGTGATCGGGTGGGGGGAGAGGGGGGCAGGTTTGGATTTGATATGATAATGTACGGCGGTGGTGAGATGTGTATGGCATAGGCTTTGCTTGACACGCGTTGGTGATATGGCCGCGTATATGAAGATTGAGTGAACCCATTGGCGATAAAACGTAGTAAGTAGTAAGTAGTAAGTAGCGCGCAGTTCCCAAGAGGTGCGTGCAGTAAGTAGTAAGTAGTAAGTAGTACGCAGTACGTAGTGATTAGCAAGTAGTGAGTACATACGTGGTGAGTAGTACGTAGTGCGTA